CAATGGAGCCAATACCAACGATTTTGCCTTTCTCACCTCCACCGAAGGAGACATTGCCTCCTTCAATCCTTGATAGGGTTGCAAATAACTCTTTGTTGCCCGTCATATGATGTGAGCAACCACTATCAAGGTACCACATCTCCTTACGTCGTTGCCGCGACGTTCCCTACAAAAGAAGAAGATGAAGGTGTAGTAGCTTTAGGTACCCATGTCTTGGGTCCTTGGTGGTTAGTAGTCTTGGTACCTTTGGGTACCCATATCAAACCATAAAAATCTTCATTGTCTTTGATTCTACAATGAGTAGAAATATGTCCATGTCTCATACAATATGTGCACACAAAATTTCTTTTGTATGCATGAGAGTGAGAGCCATAAAACCTATTTCTACCATGATGATAATTAGCAAAAACATGAGTGGGTCTAGTCCTACAACCCTCAATTTCTAATTTTTCAATCTTTGATCTTAGTTGCTTATTCTCGAAATCGAGATCTCCTAGCAATTCATCTTTTAGAGCAAGAGAGGTTGTTAGTTGCTCTAGCTTAATATCACAAGAGGTATGCAATTTTTTAAAAGAAGAGTATTCTTTAGACATTCTTTTAAATTCAAAGTTCAACTCTTCTAAAGCCATAGCTATGTCACATTGCATATAGAAAGATTCACTTTCGGCCTCGGATATTACCTCATGTTCATTTGCCATGAAACAAACATTTGGGTCATGAAGAGCCAATTTTGCTCCTTCTTCATCACTCTCCGAGTCACTTGGTTCGGATTCTTCCCATCCGGCATACATAGCCTTCTTCTTCTTGTACTTCATGTACTTTTCTTTGAGCTTGGGGCAATCCTTAGCGATGTGACCCGGTTCATTGCATTCAAAACATTTAACTACACGAGATGAAAACTTGTTGTTAGATCGGGGATTAAATTTTTTGTTCATTTTAATAAGTCTAGAGATTCTTCTAGAGAGATGAGCCACTTCTCTAGAAAAATCAACTTCACTATCCGACGACGAAGATGAGTTGTCACTAGCTCCTTTGAGAGCTATGGTCTTCAACTTTGGTGACGGCTCCTCAACTTCACGTGATGGCACTTCCTCCTTCTCCTTCCCCTTTAGCTTCTTCTCATGCACCTTGAGCTTTCCGATAAGGCTATCAAGAGCTAAGGTAGTAAGGTCATGAGCTTCCTCAATGGCCGTAGCTTTGGGCTCCCATGCCGGAGTTAAGGAGCGAAGTATCTTGTAGTTCATCTCTTGAATGGATAGTTGCTTATCTAGACCATGTAATTCATTGATGATATTAGTAAAACGAGAAAACATAGCATCAATGGATTCATTTGGAAGCATTTTAAATAGCTCATAATCATGCATAAGCCCACTAATTTTAGATTCCTTAACTTGGGGGGTTCCTTCATGTGTGACACATAATTTTACCCAAATTTCGTATGCGGTTGCACACGTGGAAACTCTATTATATTCATTAGGGGAAAGACCACAAATTAAGGCGTTCATAGCCTTAGCGTTGAGATTAGCTAGGTGCCTTTCTCCATCGGTCATGTTCCCGACTTTGGACTTTTCCTCATATTTCTCTTCTATGAGCTCTAGAATGTCAAGGTCTATGCAACGAAGGTAAATTCTCATTCTAGCCTTCCAATAGGCGAAATTTGTCCCGGTAAAGAGAGGTGGTCTAGTTGTGGATTGTCCTTCTAACATATGCATATTCAAAGAGGCCTCCATTAGATCTTTTCTCTAAGGTTGTTAAACCAAAAACTGATATAGAGACCAAGCTCTGATACCAATTGAAGGACCCTAGAGGGGGGGTGATTAGGGTCAAGAGGCTCTAATATGCAATTAAAAAACAGTACAAACAAACCACAGTAACAGAAGTGCAATAATAAAGAAAGAGATAAAGTTAGGAATCGTTATCCTTGACGCGCGATGTGTTAACGAGGTTCGGCCCGCTGACCTACGTCCCCGCTCCCCACTCTCGAGGAGAAATCCACTAACACATCCGGTTTGGAAGCCGGAACTTCGTCTACACAATGATCCCACAAGATCTCTCTCTCACTACACAGTTGATCTCACAGATCACACTCCCTCACAGTCGATCTACACAAGATCTCACTCACAGCAGCAGAAGATAAATGCAAGACACTCTCTTTACACAAGCCCCTATAGCAAAGAGAAGAGTACTGAAGCTGGGAAGTGAAACACACACAAGAACTCAGAAGAACAAGTTTGATTTGAAAATTTTCTCAGGAAGAAACAGAGCTCTCTGGTTCTCTTTCAAACGTTAGGCTTAGAGAAGAAGAAGCAGGCTTGGGGGTTTTTATAAAAGAGTTTAAATCAATAAAAACAAAAACCCAATCTTCCTATTTAGGAAGATAATCTACTTTGCAGGTTGTGACCTCAGACTGTGCCAATCACTAATAAGTGAAAGCACAGGAGTCGAGGCGAAAAACGACCGTTTTAAAAAATCGCGGCTGACCAAATCGGTTGACCGAAGAAATAATCGGTCGACCGAAAATACCGTCGGTCGACCGACCGAAAAATTCGGTCGACCGCGGGCAGCTAAAGAAATTTGGAAAAACAACCAGAGCCTCGTCGGTCGACCGTGCCGGTCGACCGATTAGAAGATTGAAAATTTGGTCGACCGTATCGGTCGACCGACGACAATCTGGAAAGATACTAAGGAAAGGGCATAGGATCGGGCGACCCGGGCGGGCACGGTCGACCGATCAGAAGATTGAAAATTCGGTCGACCGTACCGGTCGACCGATTTCTGATATTTTCTTGAAAAAGGATTTTTGACCAACTTGAAATATTTGCAAAATATTCATTTGACCTCTGAAAATTCTGAAACTTTGTAAAATGTTTTTAATACTAAAAACAAACTGTTTGGAAAAAGAATTTTGCAGATAGGTACTCATACTTGTGAAAAATAGTGTTTTGTGAAAAAACGCTTAAAAGACACAAGTCTAAAAACGTGTGTGTGATTCCCAATAGCTTCAAGTAAACTCAGTAACTCTTTGCCTACATTCTAGCACTAGAGAGAAAAACAAAAGAAAGCTAATATCCTCATATAGAGAGCAATATACTTGAGCTTTGATATAGCTTGAATCGGATGAAGCTTTTATATGCCTTTGTTGAGCGTATATTCCATCCATCCTCCGTTAATGGCACTAACGAGCTTGACAAATGATTTTACTATATTTACACTCAATAAGCCATTAGTACCGATAATGGTGGTTGTAAGAACATCATCAAAACATAAGGGCTAACAATAAGTAGATATAAGAGTGTTATAAAATACAACTCTAGATATATAAGTGCAAAATCTCCAAAAGTTGGAGGTAAATAATATAGATAATTTTAGAAAACCACAGTCTAGGTACTGTTTGGCAACCAAAAAAAGTGTCTTATCTAAGAGCTTGTGTCTTATTGACTTGGTCAATAAGCTAGTAGAGCTGTTTGGTAACCAAAAATAGGATGAGATTATTTTGGAGATTGTGTCTTTTGCAAGTAGCTTTTGGAAAGCTATCTCAAGTAGCGTTTGTCTTTGGGAAGGAACCGACAATTTTTTTCTTCTGTTTTTTCCCCTAATAATTCTAATTTTATATCAATAATATTGCATGACCTTTTTAGCCATTTAACAAATTTAAGCTAGTTGTATAGCTTCTTTTGCCAAACAGCTCTAGTCAATCAGCTAGCTACACAGCTATCAGCTTTCAGCTATAATTTCATAGCTTTCAGCTAGCTTGACAGCTTTCAGCTATAATCTCGCAGCTTTCAGCTAGTTTTGCCAAACAGAGCCAAGTCCCAACTATGGGGAGTGTCTTAGAAAATCACCATTAGCTATTTTAATTTGGAGAAACCCCCTTAAATTTGGCGTTGCTATGATAACCCTCATTAACGTCAAAAATTTGATCTAACCCCTCTAAACTTTTACTTAACCCACTGACAAGAGACATTGTTAAATCTAACATGTCACCTGAAGAATTAGAACATTGCACTAGTATTTCTCAAGATGAGAGAAAGAGAGGGGAGAGAGGGTAAAAACATTTTAAATTCATTGCAAGGATGGTTGGGGTCTTTTTCTATTGATTGGTGTGTGGGGTGGGGGCGGTAGGGGGTCTTTTTAGGGGCTGTTTGTTTGCCTTAAAAAAGAGGAAATCAAAGAATAAGAAACCTATTTCTAAGAAAAATTGTTTTGAGATTGTTTGGATGGCTAAAAAAAAAGAAAATCAAAGAATGAGAGATGAGTTGTCACATTATTATTGGATGATGTGAGTGATTTTTTAAGAAAATTTGTTTTGAGGTTGTTTGGTTGGCTAAAAAAAATAAGGAAATAAATTATAAGAAACCTATTTCCTATAATAGGTTCTTTTTTTGTGTTTCGTTCATTCATAAAAATAAGAAAATAGATGAGATGAGATGAGTTGTCACTATATTATTGGATGATGTGATCCACGCATAAGGAAATCGATTTTTTAGCTTTTTTTAGAGAAAATGGGTGGAAATGAAATGTTAATGAGATGAGATAAGTTGTCACCATATTATTGGATGATGTGAGTGATTTTTAAAGATGAGATGTGATGAAGATGAGATGAGTTGGATGATGTGACATATTTTTTTTGTTTGGTTTATTTTTAGGAGATGATATGAGATGAGTTGTGAGATAAAAATAATATTTTATTGGATGTTGTGATGAGTTTTAGGGATGAAAATGGATGAAAATAATATTTTATTGATTTCCATGTATCCTTTTTATTTTCTTGATTTTTAGGAAAACCAACCAAACAGCCCCTTAGCTGGGATGAATTGATTTTTAAAAGAATATTTCGGTCATTTTATATTTTAAAGTAAGTCAACACGGGACTTGTTGAGAAAAGCATGAAACATGTTTTTTTGAGGGGGTTGGGGTGGTTTTTGTCAGACCCAAATGTTGAGGGGTGTTCCTTTACTTTCTACCTCAACCTCAAATGTTGAGGTTGATATTTTCCAGGGATATTTCTTTGGATCCGACCACTCAATAAATTTCTCCCATTATTGAGATTAGAATTAGAGTTGGAGATAAAGGGCGCCCGAGATTTCAGTTCGAGTCACCCCCTCGATCCATCAACAATGTGTTCTCAGGTGCTTTGGTCTTCTCCATTGAGCCCTCCTCCTCGGTTCCTCACCTCTTCCACTGCCTCTACCTTCAAAAAATTTTGCCGGTAAATTCGACCCATGTCTTGATTCATTGATTCTTGATTGCCCATCGATTTTTTATTCGATTTTATTATCTGGGTGTGCTTGGGTTGCATGAGATTTTAATTAGTGAGGTGGGTTTTTGTTTTTGTTGTTGTTAACTGGGCTTTTGGAACTTGGAAGCAGGGTTGCAAACTAATGCAGTCGAATTAGAACATTCAGATGCTCATATTTGTAGTTTACCCACTTTGAAATAGTTCGAATATGTGTTTAATGTTGCAATTCTTATGAATATGGAACTATTTGATTGCAGAGATGCTTCCGTTTGGTTAAAAAAATTGAAATTTTTATTAAATTTCAATTCATATTTGAAGATTTTTCCATTTGGTTAAAGAATTTATTCTAATCTGAATTCGAACATGAACATCCTTCAAATATGTGATTTAATATTTCATAGTTTATGGATATTGAATTATTTGATTGTTGAGATTTTTCCGTTTGGTTAAAGGCATTTATTTTCTTTTAATTTAAATCCCTATTTGAAAATTATTCCTTAATAATGGTGATGCAAAAATTCGCAATTTTAATTTTTGACTAAGATATCAATTTAACGTAAGTGCAGATCCTAGGATAATAATATTGTAAGGAGGATTGAAACAAACACCATATGTGTAATGATATAAATATCAAGGGATAAAATGTACAAATAGGTATCTGATAAATTAATGAATTAGATGGGAATGCTCATATTCAATTCGTGCAGGGGCAGAAAAACGTTGAGTTGAGTTGAGTTGAATTGAATATTGAAATGTTAATATTTGTACTAGACACATTAACATCCTTTGAATATTCATTGATACCAAATTGTGTTTTTGTAGTTTAATATTCATATCTTTTAAATATGAAATTATTTTTCAAAGAGATACTTCCATTTGGTTAGACTTTGAATTTTTTCGTTAACTTCAATTAAGACTTCTGACTTTCATAGTATTCTTTCATCACTCAAAACTTAGCGGAACACCATGATTATCACATCAGTTGAGAAAAAAATGCCAAAAGGCATAGAGGGGAGGAGATAAAAAGTTACAAAATGAGGGAGGGGCACAAAATAAAATTGAAGAAAGTTGCAGAGAGCGCAACCACGGAGGGGCACAAAATAAAATTGAAGAAAGTTGCAGAGAGTGCAACCGCATTCCCCTTTCCAAATTTCGTGCATGTAACTGTTTATATAATTTATTATATGACTATGCATTTCAGCGTGCTTCTTTTTATTTCGCTGTGTTTGAATAAATCTATTTTGTATGTGTATTTATTTATTTATTTTTTTGTGAAATGTATTAGTAGTAATTTACACACTCCTGATTTTGTGCGATTTTTAACTATCAGGTATCCTTCACAATATTGTTCTTGGCGGCTACAATGTTTGGCTCCACATTCTTATTGCTATTTGAGATTTTACAATGGTATGCCTAGAGACTTTTGCCACAAGAACGGCACTTTTCTGCTTTTGGACATGTTAGACAGTAACAAAATAGATTTTTCAATCATGTATCATTATCTTTTTCATACTTGATGCCAAGAAATCATATTGTTAACAAAGACTATATCTTTATGCATATAGATACATATTTATATATTTATGCATAGATGTTTGTTTTTGTGAAAGCAAGTATATTCGGAACACAAGAATTTGGACTCGTAAAGAACTATTATGCTTTCTATTCTACCTGCTTGGTGCATACAGGATCGTAAGAATGTGAAGTTTTGAAGTACCAGACTTACTTAATTCTAAAATTCTATCGCGTATCGGGTCATGGACGAGAATTTAAAGTTTTAAAGAACTACAGTTACTACCTACCATGACTTGGATGGTTGAGAGGTTCCAATATGGCTCCCACGGTCTTGGGTTCAATTCCGGGGTGGATTAAAAAAAAAAGAACTGTAGTTACTAGCTTCTGTTTTGGAGTTTGAAAAAAAAATTCTTAGAGGGTTTAAGATAGATTTGAACCAAGTAGAAATCCATAAGCTAGAATATGAGAAAATATTCAGTATACATGCATGATATAATTATGGTAGCCCTGATATCGCACCTTTTAGCTAAAAATGGATGGAAAAGCACTGAATCAAGCTACTATGAAACAGTGGAATCAGTATAAATTCTTTCATATGGTGCTTAGCTCTTGACCATGATTTTCATAATTCATACGTATGAAATTTTTAGCGCGAAAGAATTTACTAGCTGTCCATCTCATTGCTTTATTTTATGGGATTTCATGTCCTAGATGTAATAAAATAACTAATTTTCTCACGTAGGATATACCTGTATGCATTTTGCTTCTTTTAGCTCTAGACTTGGATAGCACGGTCTACTAGGTTACTTCATGAACCAAATTCTTTCATAGTTGCCGAGATGACTTGTACATCATCAACAAAGAGAGAATAAGTGAGCAGCTTGGAGAGTTAAGATCATCTTTAATGACAAAGACTTAAAATAGGCCAAGAGGAACATGGATGGAGGCAAATAAGAAGGACATGGCTTATTCGTTTAACGCAGGAGACTACTCTTAACATAGCCAAATGGAATAAAACGTTACTGTAGCCATGCACAAAAGTTGAGAATAAAAGCTTTGTTGTCTTTTTAATTCACATGAGCTGAGCTCTTGAGCATGATTTCATTTATGAATGTTATAGGACCAGTTTTCTAAGTGGCGTGATACTTTCTATATTTGGTTCTTGGATTCGAGGTCCTATATGCAACTTTTTATGTTAAAAAATTATCTCCTTATTCTATTTTGAGGATCCTAGTAATTGCACCTCTTTGCATCAGAGTCATAATCTATTGTTTCTGGTGTTATAACAAGCACTAGTACCCCTAGAATGATTTATGCTTCCTTTTCGGTCAGTACAACTTCTGCAAGCTTAAGCATTTTTTTTCAATTGCTGCAACCTCCCACAGGTTAAAAATCTCTGGAACTTGCCGCTACCATGTTTTTTGTCACTGCTAACCGTAGTGTTTCTCTGCCTGATTGAAAATACTATGTTTGTTTGGTTGCATCTCTTGCGACCATCTTTGCCGTACCATGCTTTTATTGTCATGTACAAACATTATCTCCTTCAGTCTTATAAGGAGAGAATATTTTAGAACACATTATATTTTGAAAATCCAGGAATGTATCATTATCTCTTTCACCATAAATACTAATTGCTTTCCTTATGTATCATTATCTCTTATCAGGACTCACTATTTATGGTGAAAACTTGGCATGAACCATTCTTCAAGTGTGCTGCTTGTTTTCTAAGTTATTTGTGCACTTAATTATGTTTGCATTTTTCGAAATTCTTTTGTCATAATTCTTCATTTTATAGTGATTATTTTGATGATCGTTTTTTAGAATTTGGAAAAAGATATGCTATACAATTTGTAAACATAAAGCTCAGATAAACATCTTAGATAAAAATCCTTTTTAAATCATTATTCTCACATGGTGGTACTACTCTATCAGGAAAATGGAAGGCCTCTACCAAAAGGCGATTGGGTAGCAAATACAACCATAACTCACGTGTCTTGGATATTACAACATTTTCTGTGAACTCAATAGAGAGTCCTAACAAGGGCAGAAACTACTGTGAGCATAATACTGCACAGAGAAGCTGCGTAATTTCTTCAGCTTTCTTGAGTGGAAATGTAACTGCTCTACTTTCGTGTTGTTTATTTGGTTATTTGTTATTTTGGTATAAGACAATACTAGAAATAATTTTAGTATTATATAGTGTTGTAAGCCACTAACTTGTCCAACTGCATGCTAGTTTTCCTTGGTTAACATAGACTAACGATAGAAGTCCTCGGCTTCATCTTGCATGTTGAATGTATGATCTGCTTTCAAGTTTGTTGCAATTCATTATTAGTCTATGGTAAATATTTTCCCATTTCCTACTTAGGACCAGCAGGATGGAGGCATTGTATGTAAGATATCTAAAATGACAGAAGAATAGTAGGTTATTACTTATTAGAGATATGTCTATTGATTTCTCCATTTTGAATGAAGAACTGTAAGGTATGCCGGTCAATATGTTCATAACATTGTCATATTGTCATATTCTTAGAATCTTAGGGTAGTGTAAGTATAGCGGCAGTATATTTCTGGTATATGTAAGAGGTACAAAAACAATATGTATTTACTGCTATTTGGGATGAAAAAGCTTGGCCAGATAGTCATGCAGCCAAACCTACACGATTTCATGTCTTTCATACTAAACAACTTAGTCCAGTGATTTAGTGTTCACTTGTTAAAAATGCTGTTGATTCAAGTCAAAATTGGCAACTGGTTGGGTCACATAACCTTATCAGTTAGCTGTCTCATATGAAGGATTCACTAGATTCATAATTTAGTAAAAACTCCAATAATGTGAGAAATACTCAATGAAACATGCAGGCTTAAAAATTGACATTGAGTAGAATGCAGACGCAAAAGCTTGACCATTCATTTTTCCTGTGTTGACCATTCATCTTTCCCGATGCAAAGGCAATAATAACATAGAATAGATTTCTACTTGTACCACCAATTGAACTTTGAACTTTCATAGTGCACTTGCAACTGCATATTGGAGAGTCAGAGTACTCAAAACATATCTTCCTCAATAAAGTAGCAAATACAGAGTCAAGTGAATAGGGGATAAATTTAATTATGGTCTCACTGTCAGACATTCTTCAAAGAAGTCTTCATCTCAATTCTATGCTACATTTTGAGATTATATGGAATTAATCTTTCTTTACTGACTCTTGGGAATTGGTCTTTGTACCATTGGTTGCAGCAGTCGATGGAGGCTAGTATGTAGATTTCACTTTTCTTTTGATTAGCACATTTTTTTTCACCCTCCTTTTCCCCTGGAATTATCAACATTCAAAGAAGACCACAATCAAATAAGCCTTGGCTGGTAAATCTTACTATTGATAATGTTATATTCACTTTATTTTTCTGATATCGGTTGCAATTTTGATGAATTGCAGGGATGGCAGACTAAAATTCTTTTGCAATGCATGTCAATCTACCTTATATCCAGATTGTTACAGTTAGATTTTAATCATACTGTAAATTGTATTATGAGGAGCATTCGGATGCTGTCAACATTTGGTCTCCAAGGCTTCGGCAATACAAGTTTGGCTTTTGCTTGCATGTCCAATTCTGTTAACAAACCTGCACCACTTCAGTTGGACGTAACTTTCCCATCATTTCATGATATTAGATGGAGCCTATCTCGGTTATATTATTTATTCAACATGCAGCTTGAACGAAATATTGGCACGTAAGTCTAACACGATTGTAGTTTACTCCTGATGATATTTGCAATCATGATCTTTTTATTGTGACACATACTTATCTGATGACTAAGTTAAATGAAAGTTTCCATTTTAATACTAACTTGTCAATATGCATCTGCAATGAAAAACCAAGAAAGTCCCCTAAGATGCTTTTAAGTTATTGCACTTTTGTAGCTGCAGATTCTTCATGAATTGCTTTTATGTAACAATGTTGACCATTGTTTTAAATATCACCGACATGACACGATATATCCCCTAATATATCCTTTTATAGGGTTTGCCGCAACCGATATGGTTACTAAATATCATTTACGGCTTTTTGACTATTTTGGGCGATATATCCCCAATATAGCCGATATATCAGCTAATATGTTGACCGGTATATCCTTTTTTATGTCTTATGGCAAAACAATATACCACGTTTGGCAATTTTTGGGCGAGATATCGTGATTTTCCCATCATATAAAATGACATTTTGGCCTAAAAAAATCAGACGAAATGTTGCAGCATGTGATACACTTTTGATTGTTTTACAAGGTTGATTAGTGATCTTAAACATATATTATTTATATTTTGTTATTAAGTTCCTTGAGATCACATTTTAGTGCATTATACTATATATACAAACATCCGTTATGGCGTTCCGATGTTTACCACATATCCTCGATATTTCCATGATATCCGCAATCCGATATGAATTTTGGTCATCCGATATTTTCCCGTTATCCGATATATAAAACCTTGATGCTGACTGACTCTATTCCACTGAAAAATCACTAAACATTTTTATGAGAACTGTTCTCTGATTTTCTCTTGGAGAGTTTCTCTTCAAGTCATATTGGTGATTATTTATCATTAAATGTTTTAACAATATTGTCGTCAACATTTTGCAGGTTTTTGCTTGCACTACTTGTAGCATGTCTCTCTTTCGTCGTAATTGGCGGTTTTCTATTTTACAGATTCAGGTAGCCTAACTTTTTTTGGTTGCTTTGTTTCAGTTGTTACACTGTTGTGCTGTTACTGTCATGTACACAATGTATTTTGAATTTTCAGCTGTGGCTCAGCACATAACATGTACTGGTGTTGCTAACTACATTGTGTTTCTCATTCATCATATATTATGTGATATGCTGTCAAAGTTTAGTCGATAACCGTAGCTTTTTCCTTAGTGAGCAAACATTTAATGTCCAAATTGTTATGTTCTTAGCTATGTATATCCAACATATTGTCCCTTCATATACACTGCCAAGAAGCAAAATATTTTTTTTATCATCATGTTCTCTTTCACTTCTGCTTACCTTCCTCCAGTAAACTATCAAGGTTATTAGATGCACTGTCATAAGTAATTCCTCCGTCATGTTATTTAGCATGGCATGTGAGTCTTTCTACTTCAACTAGTTGATAACCAGTTCAACCACTAGTTATAAACTATAATCTACCTTCCATAATTGGCAACAACAAAATCGTGGGTTGCAATATGCTACTTGGCACATTTAGAAACTCAATGATCTGAGACCATATTGATAACTAGTTCACATAAGAACTAAATTATTAGGCCGTGGACTAACAACGACCATAAACTGTGCATTATCAAACACTACTATGCAAGTGAATTGGACGAAAATACCATTTTAGCCTATAAAGTGACACCCTCTAACAAATAAGCCAAAAAATAACGCCGGCAACAATAACACATATAAATTTGACATAGTTAACAACTTACACCTGTTCTTGTTGCTGGAGTTTTGATTTGAGCAGGAAAGTTATGAATTTTTACATATATACCCCACATATCTCCCGCACTTATAAATTTATCCTCCGAATTAAGATATTTGCATAAAAAATCAGTTCTCTCTTTCTTCTCAACCTTTCTCTCTCTCTCTCTCTCCACTCCCCTCACTTTCCTTCTCCACTTCTCTCCTCCCTTTCCTCCTCCCCTTCCTCCATTCCTTCTCCGCCTTTAGTTAGTGTCTGAGGGAAGAGAGGAGAGAAAGAGAGAGAGGGGAAAGGAGAAGACTGTGATAAGAGAATATAGAGAGGTTCAGGAGAGAAATATAGAGAAGTTAAGGGGATAAACCAGAGTGGAGAAGGAGGTAGAAGAGGAGTTGAGGGTGAAAATTTTGGGAAGGAGGTAAGGGGAGATGGAATAAAAGAGGGGAGAAGAGGAGAATAAAGCAAATGATTGGGGGGGAGAGCGAGTTTTGGGAAGGATGAAAGGGGAGAAGGAATAATTTTGGGAAGGAGTAAAGTAGAGAGGGTGTGAGGAGAAGAGGATGAAAGAGATGCTAGGGAGAGGAGGAGAGAGAGATGAATTTTTTTGTAAATATTTTGAATTCTGGATGGCAAATCTGTAAGTGTTAGAGGTGAGAGATATTATGGATGTATATGCAAAAATCCATAATTTCCGAACTAAAATCAAAACTTTGGCAATCGGGGTGGGTGTAAACATTAAGTGTATCAATTTATTGGTGTTATTATCGCTAACGTTATTTTTTAGGCCTTATTGGTTAGTCAGGTGTCAATTTATAGGCTAAAGTGGTATTTTAGCCTAGTGAATTGTGTAGACTTGAATCGCATGATACATAATGCAAACTTAAGACGTGTTAGTCAATTAAGACATTTTCACAAGAATTGAGATAATTATTAAATTGGGACAATTTTTTGCAAGTGGGATATTTTTATATGATAATTTTGAACGATTTTGTGAAGTGAGATATCTTGATGAAATGACGTTGGACAATTTTGGGTATATATTTTATGCATTTTGATGATGCTAATTCTATTTACATATTTTAAAAATTACTATTATTTATTGATAATTGTTTACTACAATGTTAGTTACTACTAAATAACTTTTGGTTAGACTATAAGATTATTATTAATTATATTATTATTATGATATATTTTGTAACTTTTTGATTTTTTGATTATTATTATAGTACAAGTCTAAAAAAAATCAACATCTTCCTCTAATTTTTTGCCCCCATCTTTTTCCATCGTCTCTCAATTTCATTTTTAAAATAAATTATGTATATATAATTTCTTTATTTTTAATTTAATTATTTAATTATAATATTCGATAAAACAAAGAAAAAATCATATAAATAGTTGAGTAAGAGGAGGCGCGGTCAGATATGACAGTATGGTTTAATGATGGTGATAACCATTGGAGGAAAGAGAATTAAGAAAAGAAAAGAAATATGAAAAATAAAAAATAAGAAAATAAATAGGAGAGGTTTAGTTTTTTACCAGCTAGTTCCAAGCTAAAACTTAGTATAATTTGAGAGATTAGAACTCACATTTTTGTATAGAGAAATGAAAAAGGGGGATAATTTTTACAACTCTCCCAATTCTAGGTTTGGCACAGTTCTAATCGACTTAACACTGTAAAATTTTGTTCTAGTTGGCTAGCATGATGTTTGACTCAAACCACTGCCAAAAATAACTAGTAGTTATTACACTTGAATCCCTTACCTTATCGTAGAAATCCATCTGCATCTTTGTAAATTTTTAAAATGAGACTAAACAAGTGGGGGTATCACAATCAACCCACCTCAAACATGCTATGTCGTTGTCATGGCATGACAATGGTATATCTTGGACCACCACTAGGCTATGTTGCATGGGTACTTCTGCTATGAAGTTGTACCCATACCTGACATGTCTCATACCCATACCCACATCTGACACTTTTTGGACAATCCTTACATATCTGCATACATTTGTTTATTAGACGTGTACTCAACTGTACAATACATGTTTTAATTTAAAGTACACGTTATACACTTCTTGAAGTATATATCCTACACTTCACATCCACTTTTGAAACTTGTTAGGCAAAGTTCGGGCTTATTTCAGCCTATGTTCAGTTAAAAATTACAATTTTAAAGGGTTATTTGCATATCTCACTCAAAACTATGATTTTAGCCCATGCGTTTCAGCCCATACTCTACCTTTTACAAATATATATGTCGTGTCCCACACCCGTATCTATATCCATATTCATGCAACTTGGCCAGCAGGTGATGTGGATTCTAATGACTTATCTTATAACGCTATCCATATCTTTGTAAGTTCCTGATATGAGACTAAACAAAATAGATATCATACATCCATAAGAGACTATTGCTTTTCTTAGGAGTTGACTACGAAAAAACTGGACACAAATCTACAAGACTATTGATAATAGAAATATAGGAACTAGCAGGGGTACTATTAAATACACTTGGACGTCCTTCTTAAGGACTTAAACTCTCATATTTACTGATCATTTTCCCAAAGGACCTTGATTCTCGCAGTTGTAATTTCAGTTTTAGATCGGGTCAAGACCTCGCAGTCACTGTCATTCTTCCGAGTGTGAATAGTTTTTTCTGAGTGAGTATTTCTAAGTTAACTTTGCTTGTGATTTTAAAAAATGGCATTTTTTCTAAGAGAATTTAACAATTAAAACCAGAAAATTGAAAAATGATCACTAACTTAGGTGCAATGAAAAACAAAAATATCCATGAATAGTATTAGTAGTTTAAAGAAACAAAAATATTTTCCCTCGTACATTGCATCACACATGTGAAACCCATCTCGGTCTATGATTACATGTAGTGTTTCAATTGCCTCACAATTTTCAGTTCTTTGCTGACATAAATAACTCATTTTATTCGTTTTAATTAGTTTAATAGATCATATAGCAACTCTCTTTAAGGAAATCATATTAGCATCAATTTTATTGAACTGAGACATGGAGCACCTAAGCATGTTGTCGTAGTAAAGCTTTATGGAGATCTATGAAGAATAGCATATAATTTTATTAGAAGAATCAGGAATGCACTTCAAGTTCTTATAGTAGGTATAACATTAGGCATCGCTCCAGCAAGAAACAATAACAAGAAAGCCTTTATCCTAAATCTCCCGTCAGCTAAGCAATGATTTTCTTCATTCAGCTATGTTAGCAACCCACCCTCTTTGAAATTAACATCTACCACATGTTTTTCCTCAACATCTGTTTGTTTAGGTCCATTGCTCGTCCTTGCCACTCGACCCATGTCCTATCCCTTTAACTTGCCATTCATAAGTCCGTCTTACACATGTCCAAAGCAATTTGGAAGGTTCTTCCTCATAGAAAATATTGTTGAGTACTTGATTTTTATAAAGGTCCATACATGATTACTTCAAATCAGACTCTATGTTGTCAAAGATTAATGGTGGATAATGATTGTGGTGCAACCCCGTGTCCTTTACAGTTTTGTGGGTTCTTGGAAAGTGCTTGTTTCTCATTCAAATGAACTCTAGTTGAGTTTACAAGACAGTCAAAAGAGCAAACGACCAGATCTTACTCAAAATAATAACTGAAAAGAGCAGCAAGACTTAACCAGTGCCAAACTATTACAAGTAGAAGGCAATAACTTTCACTAACAACTACTAAATCTACTTACTACTAGCCACCAAGTTCAATAATGGGCAGCTATAGCAAGACCAAATAAGCTAGTATAATAAGGCACTAAGCTAATAGAACAAAGGTCAGCCTACTAAAATATTACTAAAGGAAACAAACAACTAAGCTAAGCTATCAGCTTCTGATAACTAAATTAGAGCCCACATCCATGAGAATATGAGATCTTGCCCAAGATGGCAAGTACATGAGAGGAGCTTGTTAAAGGAAGAAATTGCAGAGGAAACTAAAGTAGTGGCAGATCTTTCTTAGTGAGGATAAACCCTAGCCCTTGGAGATGATTTATAGTGAGGCGAGAACAATTCAGATGTCGGGTCAGTTCTGAGATGAAAACGGGTGAGATCCAATTGGTATGAGCTAGTCATCTGATGGCCTTATGGATTGGGTTAGGAACAGTTAACCCCACGGTTCAGATCATAATGTCTGCCCCATATACTAATTATTCACTAACCTCCTATACATAACGGCCCAATATCACCATTTCACTAACCATAGGCTGAGCAGGGCACATGGGATTGTTGGAAATTCTTTATCCTCAAACTTCGATTAGTGTAGATTATGGTGTAGATTAACAGCTTGGGACGTTCCCCACAGGGATCCAATTAGATATTGACTCTTCAAGGAAGTCATCTCTGAAATAATGATCTAAAAGCTTCTTACTTATCTCTTGTTTCTATCATGTGCCAACTTCCATGATGCTGTTTGTTTAACTTTGCTCTAATTGAGTTATTAAGGAAAAGATATAAAATAATCTAAAGGACCATCTAATATGATGAAGTGCATGCATCTTCTGAAAGTGCTATTGGCAATTAATGCAGGAACAAACAACAACCTCTAGAAGACTGCTTTTGGGAGGCTTGGGCATGCCTGTGTTCATCATCTACTCACTTAAGAGTATGATTATTCTATGTTAGTAATCTTGTTTCAGAACTGTAACATTAGCATGATTCCTTTTTTTCCTGTGCACTTCTATAACAGCAAAAAACACGTGTTGAACGTATAATTGGCCTTGTTCTTGCAATCTGGGGCATATTATTCTACTCCCGGTTGTTAAGCACAATGACTGAACAGTTCAGAGTGAGTTTTTGGTTTCCAGAGGTTACTGATCAAGTTGTTAATTTCTATTTATTTTAATATACATCTTTACATGTTTTATAAGGGCAGAGGAACATGCAAAAGATAAGAGAAGGAGCACAGCTGCAGGTTATGGAGTCTGATCATATTATCATCTGTGGAACTAACAGTCATCTCATGTGTATACTGAAGCAGCTAAATAAGTTTCATGAGTCTGCCATCCGCCTTGGAACTGCTAGAGCGAGGTGATGCTCTATCTTGTGTCATTATGGTGTTCTAGGAATTTTCTCTTAAATTGACATCTTCTTGTATTCTTATGCAAATTTGAAGGAAGCAGCGAATCCTTCTGTTATCTGATCTACCTAGGAGGCAGATAGAAAAGCTTGGAGATGGTATTGCCAAAGATTTTAACCATATTGATGTTCTAACAAAGAGGTATTTCCTCTCTTCTGGTTGTACTTTCTGTTACTGGAAGGTTTACTACTAAACCATCTTTGTGAGTGGCCCACCAAACTTTCGTGGTTTGAGTTTTTTCTTCTTCATATTATATCTTGGCTTCTTAGTTTAACTATGGTTTTTGTAATTGGTGTGAATGAAATCATCTTCCCATTTAAGAGTCTAAGACACATTTTTCTCTCTCACTTTATTCCTCCATATCTTTGAATTCTTGAAATTTAATTGTGATCTGAAGTCATGAATGAATTTGGAGTCGATGTTGCTTCATTGAAATAGATCATTAGGTTTTAGTGTTTTAGTTTAAGATGACCGCAGATGATCTGGTTTTCTTTAAGCTTTTGATGTACTTCCATCTCAATTTTACTACACAATACTTCTCTTATTATACAGCTTTCATTAACTTCTGCCGAGTGTCTATCCCTTTCTCTCTAGTTTTATAATTTTCCCCTGCTTAACTTTCATTAAAGCTTTCATGTTGCACATTAACCATGTTGTTTCTCTAAGAAACAATGAGAAATGGAACATGTAGATTAATTGAATCACTATTTTCATTAAAAATAATTGTGATTAGATGAGTTTGTGAAGGGGGTTGGAGATTCAGCAGAGAATGACCTCACCAGAATTAGTGAGCGGATCGCTTGTACTAGTTATTGTAGCTGGTCACATCATAATGCCATACTCCATGTCTTCCCCATTTCTTCTTCCATTGCTTTGTATTTTGTGCTAAAATATTTTGTATATGGGATATTGTGTTTGTTACTTTTTTATAACAGTCCAACTATGCTGTTTAAGATTTTGGTTTTGTGTAATTTCTTTTTTCTTTTAATAAAACCTGTTCATTGTTTCCATTTTTACTGGTGGTGGTGATCTTCAGTGTGTGTGTGTGGATGGTGGTGATTCTATTGTAATATTTTTTAGCTTTTTTGTTGAGAAGAATAAGAAGAAAGTGAATAACTCACTTATATTAGAAATGTAATATAATTAGTCCAACCATGATAGACAATCCATATTAAATTCTAGAATTTGTATATTGACAAATCATAAAGGATAGGATATATAATCTTTGGTTAAGTTTTCGTGAGGCCGAAAGTCTACCTAAATATTTTCCAAAGCATTTTTTTGTGTGTGTGTGGCCTGGGAAAGAGCAGAGCTCCCTTAAATTAAAAAGGAAAATAATATGTACAATGCGTGACACCCTAAAATAAAGGCCTAGAGTAGATAATGACTAAAATGATACTGAAAAAGAAAGTTCCAAGGCTAACTTATCGGCTTTCACGTCAGCCTCCAAGAAGCATGTCATCAGCCAATGTTTTAAATATAGACTGGTTTTATCAATTTATCCCCATATAGGGTTTGGGCTATGGCCGATACGTTTTTTACAAAAATATATCGCATATAGTTTTGATCTGATCTTTCCCGATATAGCAGTGTAAATCTGATAAAGCAACCGGTTTTTCGTGGGCTAAAATTATCCGATTTTTTACAATTTACATTCTAAGTGAGCTGGTTCGCATTTGGAGACAAGAAACCATCTTTTTTTTTCATATTCGACCCACATACGCTAAACAAAAACAATACTATCCTATTCTATTTCGCTTCCACTAAACAAAAACAATTGATAAAGTGATCCTAAACATGTGTTATTTACATATTAGTACGTTTATGTTTCATTAAATGTGCTTAGATTACGTTTTAAGACATTATATTATATAAGCTCACCATCCGATGTAACACTCCGATTTATATTACTTATCCCCGATATATCCTGATAACTAGGATTCAATATGAATTTTGGCCATCCGATATATTTTCGATAACCGATATTTTAAAACATTGCCATCAGCAAAATGAAATGCCAAATAGGCATACAGTCACCCGTTGAACACGAGCAATGCAAGCACCAAAGAAACACGCTATTCATCTTGAAGATGTCCCGACATAGTAGTAATTACATGAGCAATTTGGTCTGGTGATTTCGCAATCAAAGAGGTGAACATACGACAATTTCTTTCCATCCATACATGCAAAGCAAAAAGAAGCACAAAGAACAAGAGCTTTCCTCCTAATTTTCCAAGCATCTAATAGCTAATAGAATTGCTGTAATATTCAATATATTTTTCGGTTCGAGTTTTGATGATGAAAAGTATTTTAGGTGTATGATAATCTTATACTTTTTATCAGATATTTTCTTTTTTGATCTCTGACTCTCTAATTGTGCGTGAAACTTTCTACTTCTATAATGACAAGTATTCTATGCTTTTACACATGCAGCTGCAGCCTTAGCCTGACAAAATCTTTTGAAAGAGCAGCAGCAAACAGAGCACGATCTATTATTATACTGCCAGCAAAGAATGATCGGTAATTAAAGACTGTTATGTAACACATATAATCTGTGTATGCATCATGATTATTTTCTGGAGTAGTCTGGATACCAGTGCATTAAAGTTTAGGAGATAAGATAAATAAAAATATCCTTAATATCCTTTCACATTGCTATCAATCACATTGTATTAATGACATTGTTGTCAATACATTGTTATCAATCACTTAAAAATTAACTGCTAATGTAATTAGCACATTTCCTTCATTAAAGTTATTTCTGATGGAAAGTCAAGGGCATCAGAGATAGACATAATGTGGTCACTAATTTATGATGCAAGAAATGGACTAGAAATAAGAAAGATGAGCCATCTTTTCTAGGTACTTCCAGAGCAGTTTAAGCTATAAGCAAATTTGTTTATTTGAAATAGGTTAACCACCTTTTACCAGCACCAGGGAAGAGTTTTATGTTCAATTTTTAGCCTTTGTAAGTGTATTGATACATTTCCACGTCAGATGTTGTTGTTGTTGAAAAGATCATATTTGTACTTACAAATTTACACTTCATGCATGTTACATGTGCTTATTAGTTAAGTTCACATGCCCATTTACAGTAAAAGCATCAAGCATATATTGATTCATGAAAACTTACATGTTGTGGTTGCTTGCAAAAGAATAAAAAATGCAATCACATAAATGACTTAGCAACCTCCTTGAGTTGTTGAGCTAAAGTTTCTGCAAAGAGGTTGAAGTATGATGGTGTATAGTTCTGATGGAAGTTAAATTATGCTCTAAAGTTCAGCTCTGCATTATGGCCCATATGATTGTTCAACTGATTCTTTTCTTACTTTAGAACCCTTTTAAATTGAAGATTATGCATTAATTGAGAACATGGAGTATTATGAGGAATATTATCAGTGCATAACAGTTGCCTAATAATTTGCATGATGTTATAATGTGATACCTGCCCATTTATTGTTATTATTTCTTTAGAATTGTTATCAAATGTCTCACTTGGGTCTGATGTGAAAATTATTTCAATTGCACCATTCTTGCTGTGGTTGTCTATCAGGTATGAAGTTGACACTGATGCATTTCTCTCATTGTTGGCTCTACAACCTCTGCCCCAAATTACATCTGTCCCAACTGTTGTGGAGGTAGGTAATTTGTAGTTTGTTTACTATATAGGAAATGAGTTACCGAGAGATAGGAGTTGTGAGGTTGACCTGCTCCATTATGACTAGCAGGGTGGACCTCACCAGTAGTACATGTCTTGGTAGCTCATTTAGCAAAATGAGTTGTCTCATCATATCCAATTTTTTCCACATAGTATGAGGTGGCAACTCATTTTGCTAAATGAGCTATTGAGAGATGTCTATTTGTGAGGTCCACCTTGCTAGTTAGATTGGAGTAGGTAGACCTCACCATTACATACATGCATACATATACATACATATTTTTACGAAATGAGATACCAAGATCTGGACTAGTAGTGAGGCAAAACTTTCTAATGACTTCAGGGCTAGTGGACCACACGGCTCCTATCTTTTGGCAGCTTAATTTTCTAAATGAGCTACTAACTAGTTCATATCCATCCAGTACCCCCAACATACACACACATGACATGTTCTCTCACTCATGCATATAGACAGACAAACATACATACATATATATATGTATGCATGTGTCTGCACACGTGTATGTGCATGACCGCGTGAACACACAATTTCAGTCTTAAGCAATCTGCCAGGATTTATATCAGTATCCTTGCAATTGAAGAGTTACAACCATGCCACCATATGTTCAGTTATTCTGGTCATGGGAGTAAAATATAATAGTTTAATACCTAACCATATATTCTTACCTTTGGTCCTTTGGATTTATTTCTTATTACTGCAGGCTTCAAATTCCAGCACATGTGACCTTCTGAAGTCAATAACTGGGTTAAACGTGCAGCCAGTGGAAATGGTTGCATCCAAGTTATTTGTTCAGTGTTCTCGTCAAAAGGGGCTCCTGAAAATTTACAGACACTTGCTTAATTATCAAAGTAATTCCTCGCTTCACGCTGCCAGTCGTAATTCCATTTTTGTTACTAGTTATTGATTATTATTTTTTGGCTTTAAATATTCCCTTCCATTATTTGGTTGTTAGCCATTGTTTAAAAGGCCCAATGTAATATTCTCTCTTATACAGATATGTGAGTGCCTTTGGTTTCTACCTACATTGCTTAATAACTTGGGGTCGGGATCATTTGGGTTCCTTCTTTGTTCCTTCTTTCGTTTATCTTTTATCTTTTATTTTTTCCAGTTCTTTGCCTTGTAGATAAATGAATTAACAATGGAAATTTTTATAAACTCAAATAATAATTTGGACTCTCTGTGGTCATGAGGGTTTAAGGGCGGAACCTTGTTTGCATGAGTCTCAACTCTTCTCCTAGACAGCAGTTGTCGAGTTCTAGGGCTTTTCATTCATCATAGTGGCCTCAGCTACAAATTTTGGTACCTTGTCGAGAGTTAATTCCTCAGTGACCATTGTTTGTAAAAAATGATTAATTCTTCTGTGGAGCTTTCTCAACTTCATCTTAACTTCCATAGTCTACCTCTTTCAAATGATTATTTGATATCACTGATATATCATCCCTGCTATGCAAGCTGCTATCCCATAATGTTATGTATAGTATATAAGTGTTAATTATTTCGTTTGTTTACACAGTTCTTAGATATTTTAATATTTTAACATGTCCAGAATTGATGGTTATCTCATAGTTCCTTCATATGCTTTGCAGAAAATGTATTCAATCTATATAGCTTCCCAGATCTAGCAGGATTGAAGTATAAGGACATGAGGCGTGGACTCCAGGAGGTAGAATTGTATGTAAAGTTCAAATTCTTTCTTTTGAATTTTTATTGTATCTGATTTAGATCCTTTTCTCCTTTTTCAGGCAGTAGTTTGCGGCCTCTTTAGATCTGGGAAGATAAATTTTCATCCTAGTGACGATGAAGAGATTAGAGAAACAGATAAAGTATGAACAGTTATATTGCTTTTATCCATCGTATTTACTTATGCAAAGATGCTAAACATCTACTATATCTTCTGAAACTGAAAAATAAAAAAAAACTTGTGAGGCTTATATCTCAAGCCGTGAAGTTTACGGCTCGCATAAAAAATTGATTGAAGGCTTTGCCTTGTGCTTTTACTTTTTTAAAACATTGCTTTGAGCTACAGTGGTACTAGCATGCCCATGGCATTTGTTATGATTTTTATTTTTATTCACTTTGAATACTATAAATGCTTTTTTTATTTCCATCATTGACAAATATTGACAAGGATCAACGGCCCTACATCTTCATGGAACACTGTGTATTCTCTTAATCAGTTGCAATGCTTTATGCCTTGTTGTTAGTAGGACTACTTTGGGCCAAACATTTTATATGGGCTCTTTCATGATTTCCCTTAAACTCAAATTTCATAGATTAAAAATAAGATTAAAAAGAACTTATCTCCTAATGGTTCTGTTGAACAGTTTCTCTGGGTTTTCCTTGCTAAAGTATCATCTAATGTCATTTGACAACTGTAAGGATTTCTCTGAGAACATCCATCTCGAAGAAATTTCTGAGCTTTTAACATGTTGATTGACTTGTGATCTTATGGTGACTTGAGTACTAGATCATGCATCTTCCTCGAGGACTGTCTTCTCATCAGGAAAAAAAAAACTAAGATCAATCATTGTCAGTCATTTTACTTCCAAAGGCACCTACTTTGTTTACCCTCCACTTAATTACTGAAGGTTTGAGCATGGCCATTGATAGGTCAAAATCTTTTGTCACACAAGCCAATGCATTAGGTGTACTTTAATCTTTTCAAATGTATAGGATTCTTAATACGTAGAACTTGAGTTTAAACTTCAGATATTAGGCTATAAGCACCATTCAACAGATGTTTGGGGAAGTGCTTATATTTCGGATGATTTCAATTTTCTGTAGTAAATATTATCATCATCTCCCTTCATTTAGACTTAAAAGAATAGGATAGATTTATAAGGTCATGCGTTGGTTACACAAGCTTAAACTAAGTTACCTACAAGGTAGTGTTCATTAGCAGTAGACTACAAGATTTTAGCCGGTGAACAATTAGATGTCAGGTCAAAATGCAATGTTAAAGTCCGTCGATCTTTCAGCAGGGTTCTCTTAACTTAAGAGATCTTATACATTCTGTGAATTTCTCTTTTTGGTGTTCTCTTAATTTTCATACAGATCCATTTTGTCAGAACTTTCACTTCTTTATGTTCAGAAATCCATAGTTATCTGTACTTTTTCAGATCAGCACTGCAGCCAAGCTCTTTATATGACTCATCAAATTAGCATGTGAGAACATCTAATACGAGATCATTGCTCAAAAACTTTGATGCATATAAAACACTATTATTATCTATCATACAGAGTTGAGATGCATCATTTTTTGTTCAAATGTAATCTGATGATTAGCAAACTTATCTTCAAAGATATTATACATATCCAAACCTTCTAATGCTTTCAACTTCTAAGTATAACTTTCGCCTTCTAATCATAATTTTTTTGTGTAGGTGTTGCTTATAGCACCTGCGTATGGAAAGAGGAAGCCTCAAGTTGTGGTCCCAGATGCTTCACAAGAAGACTTAAAAGAAGCACGACTTGTGAATATTGTGCAGCGTCCTTCAAAATCAAGTTCTAAGGTATCTTGTCCTTCAAGGCAGAGTTTTAGGAAACTTTCTTTTGAAGATTTAGGATGTTTGTCTAAGTTATATTCCAAGTATTTGATCCAGGCCAGTGATTTGGATCTAGGACCCCGAGAATGCATACTTCTGGTTGGTTGGCGGCCAAATGTCAGTGGAATGATCAGAGAGTATGATAGTTACCTTGGACCTGGCAGTGTTTTGGTTTGTTTCACATCCCTTGAAACTGTTCTATTTTATCTGCTTGTTGTCACTATTATCCATACAAATTACTTATCAGTTATGACGTCATTGGCTACCCTTGAAACACTTCAAAAATATTTATTTATGAGCATATTTATTCCATATACATTGCTACAACTGGAGGAGGATGTGGTTTGAGGAAGAAATAATTTCCTAAAAATGAATATGAAAATACTATTGCCCTAAAGAATAAGTAAATATGGTTGCAGAGACATACAAATATCAACTCGTGTTTCTGTCAATCTTTTAAAATTGTATATTCAGGTATATTTATCTGTGGTTTTTAGGGAATTTGGTGGATTTTTAGATGATAATGAGTTGTATAAGGACACTTATTCTGGTGGAAAGTTAGAAAATTGGACAAGAAGCTTTTTTTCAAAAAAAGAAATCAAATATACCAATCAATGTCAATTCAGATAAAAAAAATCTCAGAACTGGACAGAGCAAGACAGTGAGAAAACAAGGGATTTAGTGTTCCAACAAGGATTTAGAAAAGGTTTGGATTTTTATGGGTTTGTGAGTTGAAAAAAAATCCTGGTCAGTCTGAAATTTCCATAACAACAACAACAATAACCATCGTTGCGCGATTCCCCGAATCCCTTTACATTTGCGAACCGATTCCCTCTGATACACGAACCGGTTCCCCAAAATTGGCGTACCAGTTATAAGTATGCAAGATGCAAAGTCTCTTTAAGTGCTCTGCACAAGACGCAATGCAATGTGTACAATTAAGTGAAGGAAGACGCATAATAGAGTATAAGAGCCGATGACTTTATTGTAACTAAATACATATGTTAATTAAATGTAAAACGAAGCCATGATCCTAAAACGAGCTCTGTGAAAAAAAAAGAACAAAGAAACTAAACTCCATCAAAAAGAAATATTTAAGTATTTTGTATGGAAAAAAATATTAAAATTTGTAATTAGCTTTCTAGTTTTCTACTATATACTTAAATATTAAAATGAAACCATGATCCTAAAATATTAAAATATTTTGTATGGAAAAAAATATTAAAATTCGTAATTAAAAGGAAACCATGATCCTAAAACGAGCTCCGTGAAAAAAAAGAACAAAGAAACAAAACTCCATCAAAAAGAAATATTTAAGTATTTTGTATGGAAAAAATATTAAAATTCGTAATTAGCCTTCTAGTTTTCTACTATATACTTTGAAAAACTTTTAAGTGCACTTGAAAAATTTTAACAACGTACCACCAACCGAACTTGCATCCTGAAGCAAGCTACCCCTAATGAATCCAAAATTTCTAAGTGGTGAATTGTGTACCCGAATTCGTACCATGACCCGCTACGTATTGCGTACTGTGTAACTATGACAACAACAATGCCTTTGTACCAAGTTTTTGGTTGCTACATAAATCCTATTCTTTCATCAGTCCCAGAGGGCTCCAATATACTCCTAAAAGATCAAACTAAAATAACTAGTGATATTAACTAAACATTAACAGAAAAAATAACAATGCAAGTATGAACAAGAAATTCTTTTGGATATCCGGTACAAAATATATTAAAATAATCAAGGCAGCCATAGACTGAGCATTAAGTAGCGGACTGCTCAACTCCATTCTATTATCAAAACAAAAAAAATTATGTAGAGTTTAAAAAGAAAATACATAGTAACTTCCATTACATCAACAACCTATTAAGTCTATACTTTTTGTGTGTCCATATCTGTCGAACATATAATTGGAGAAAGAAAGGTAATTGAAACCCTTGATTTCAAGCTAAATGTGCAAAATGTAAAGAAAACATATACATTGTTATTAGTTTAATCATATCTCGCTAGTGTATGTTCTCTGAGATGTTTAAATTAGAGCAGTGCTAACTGTACTACAGATCTCATACCACTTTATTTCTATAAGACTTAAAATATCTTTAAATAATGATTACGGACACATAAGTCCTTATTGCTATGCACGAGGAAGAATCATATATACTTGTATGTTTAGTACCAAAGTATAGTATGAGGCTTGTAGTACAATTAACATGATTGGTTATTCTATAAAATATATCTCATCTAGTGATATTCATACGAAAATAAGGACAGTGAATAGGACCGTTGGAATGCAGTAGCCAGTAAGTTGTGCTAAGGAGTATAAGGATTTTGACCGTGATTTATGTTCCTGGTGTCTTCAAGATACATGGTCCAAGTTTATGGAAGGTATTAGATATATATGGGCCCTTACAGTAAAATTTTGTCTGTACTGGAGTTTAGATATTACATTGTTGTGACAAGTTATAGCCAGATACAAGTTAAAACTGACCCTTTCTCCACAAATTTACTTTAAAACTTATCACATCCTATTAGATTAACAAACTGCCTCTTCAAAATTTGGAGCATGCATAACATATACTTTTGTAACAGAAACCAGATTGCAGTTCATTGTGTTCTCTCAACCATATATCAGAGCCTATATCTTGGTTAAATGCCATGACAATAGCATGTTTTGAGGCGCCTCTCAAGTTTTTTTACAATTTGAGGATTTGAGTGCAAAAGATTTCTTATAAACCCCATATCTAGCTACTATAGTTAAGAGCTCAGTAAATTTCTGGTTTTCTATGAAATGCACCATTGCAGTCTTATGATGTTTGAAATATCTTCACCTATCATCTGTTCTATCAACTAGAATGCTTTTTGTTATTAAGTTGATGACTCCCACTTCCTGTGTGGTTTATTATTTTCTCATAAAAAAGGTTCTTGGCGTCCATTAAAAAAATTCAGTACATTATTTTCTATTACCAGTAAGCATAGCTTCTTGAAGTACTCGTGTGTTTTTTTCTCTAATAGATCTGTCTTAAGATAAACCTGAGCAGAAGACTAAAGTTTCTCTTGATGATGACTTTGATAGGAAATTCTATCTGAAGTTTCCATCACTGACAGAAATAGCATAGTCAACCCCGTGGTTCAAAGTCAACTGAAAAATATTAAGATATCTCATAGGGTATCTCTCTTGCCCAGTAACATACTTATCTCTTATTATGTGGTTGTAGTAGCATATGTGACAGATTGGATGATTGTACTTGTGCTTATTGCAGGTAGGAAGTCCTGTGAACTATGAGACATTGAAGGAAGCTATTTTGAATATTACGAATTCATTGAAGGATTCTAAAGACATGCCCTTATCAATTGTTGTCATCTCTGACAGGGACTGGCTTATTGGAGGTAAGCTCAATGTAGAAAACCCATCTAATACTATTATAAAAGAGTGTTGGATGTAAAACATTTCCCCCCAAAATGCCCTCCATAACACATACATGCACACATAAAACATATAAATGCATACATAAATCATACCTCTTCAAATCGAACACCTGCGTGCATATACTTAAACTATACCCCTTCAAATTCTTCTTATAACCCCCGATCTTACCAAATCAATTAATTAATGATACATAAACTATATACCCCTTCAAATTCTTCTCATAACCCTCAATCTTATGAAATCAAATCAATTGAAAGTATGACATTTTTTAGACTATAATATGCAAATTCAAGCTCTCATTCCTGGTTACTCACTATTTTGTGTTAACAACACCAAATGGTGAGGTAAGAATTATTTTTGAAATTATCATATACTTCATAATTTATCCATAAGTAGTACTGATTTCTTATTTGTGATATTATATTCTTACATACGACAGAAAGGAAGGTGTAGGTGGTATAATTACAATTGCTTATTATTTATCAGTCAATTAAATCCACTATAACCCCCACTCAACAATAATATCTATTTACCCATTTAAATTCCCGTCATGACCACCCAAATTAAATCAAGCAATTATGTTTTTATAACCCCAATTAACAACGATGTCGATTAAAGGAAAAAAAACCCCTCTAACAAACCCATTCATCCAACACCAAAATAAACCTATCCGCTCTCTCCCTAGACCGCCTATCTCACCAGCTGTCATCGTCGCCGTCTGCCTGCGGATGTTTTTGGGATATGAACTTTGATGTGCTATATCATGCTTGGTAGAAGATAAAGTTCTTCATACATAACTTATTTGTGAAATTCTGCAAAATTTTTGCTTGATAATGTGCCTGAATATTTAATGTTTTGTTTGTTAGAAAGGGCAAGTCAATGTGATTGGGGTTTGCTTATTGGCATTACTATAAGTTTGAGTGGTCAGGTTTGTTTAGAAGGTGTTATTAGTTCAATTTTTCTCTGTATGATAGGTTTTGTCATGAGAAGAACATTGACATGATGCAGCACATTTTTACTAATGGCTCATAGCTAAGGTTCAAGCTCAAGTTTAAAGGGAAAGGTTTTCATTCTCTTGGTTGAGCTTTTAAGTTGATGTTTTTTTCCCATGGACAGAGTGTGCAATGAGGGTATATTGTTGAAGTTGTAGTGAAGTCATGACGCTAACAGTCTATGGTACTGTATATGGATAATCTTGGATGTGTTGTTGAATTATAACATGTCAGATAAAGTTTTGCTTTCAGTATAGGTTTTATCAAATGCTTTAAACCCGTTTAGCTATTCTTTATCGTCTAATTTCTAATCAATATGCTTAAACATAGAATATGCCATGTAAATTTTGTTCTGCTTACTATAACACCATAATCTGTTTTAAAATAATGAGAACATTTTTGGCCGAGGATTCATATGTCGCATATGCGATTTGTTAACTTTTTTCTTCTTTAATTCTTTTATATAATTTTGTGAATTATGATATAGAGATCCACCTTTTGTTGGACATGTAATAATATGTAGGGGTAAATTCCATGAAACCCCCTTTAGGAATTTTGAGATAATCCCTGTAAACTTTATAAATATCACATAACACCCTTAAGTTAGGGTGTTTCGGAAAACTCCCCACATATTTCTCTAAACTTTAAAAATATTACATAACCCCTCTTAAGTTTCATTTTCAAATTTTCAAATAAGCCTCCAAATAATGTTAGATGAAACTGTAAAAAATGATCAAAAGGTTCTTTTCAAATTAACACTCCATGATTAAATTGAATTTAATTAAAGTAATCATTAGTTAAATTATTTAAATCCTTAAACCAGACCAAATCTTAGGGGTTTTTATAAAAATTTCCATTAAAATTATTAAAAAGGGCATGCAATCGGTTTCTTGTCCATCGGGCACATTTTGATCATTTCAACATATATGATTGTCACATGGCAGTCAGATCTAATAGAGTTAGGTGGTTTATCTGACAAAACTTAAAGGGTTAAAAATGACATTTCTAAGGTTAAGGGGGGTTATGTCAAAAATGTCAAAACTTAAGGGAGTTTTTGTGAAAGTTATGTAGTGGAGCCTGAAACCTTCTCATTTTGATGACTTTTGTATTTCATTTGACTGCTCATAATAATTTGCGTAGGAGTATTTCTTTTAACTATGAGTTAGTTGATGGATTGTGAAGAACTCAAAATGTTAAACCACATGTTTTGTAAGATAAAACCGGGAAAGCAATGTTTAGAAGGGAACATAGACGTGCTTTTTCTTGAAGGTTATATTAGTTTTTCAAGTTGTATTGGTTGCAGAAACCTGCCGTTTTAATTTGATATAATAAAAATAGATATTAAACCTGTCTGACCACAATGTCAGCTATATGTCAATGTCATCAGACTTATAGCATTATGAACAAAATTTAGTAATAAAACTTTGTTCAATTTATATATGTATACTTGATATATTGTTGTGTTACTTTAATATATTTAACATACCTATGTATAAATATATATCAATGTATTGTTTATAAAAACGTGTAAGAAAAACAATTAAAATATATAACAGGTATGTCCACATGCAACACACGTGCACTATACTAGTTTTCCTAAAAGCAGTCTTTAATTGAGTTTTTTTTTTCCCTCAGAACCATCACAGGCAGACAAGCATGCAGCATATACCCTCCTCCTTGCTGAAAGTATTTGCAATAAACATGGTATTAAGGTTAGTTATTGCATTGATACTTGATCTTCATAGTAGGATATTTCTGGCCTTATGTTTGATATATGTGAATGAAGTGGTTGATAGTGTCAATTTATTTACAAAGTGCTCAACAGACTGTATTATTTCTAAATGTTAGAATTTAATTCTCAGATAAGTTTTTACCTTTTTGGTAATAGAGCATGGTCAGCTAAAAGTGACCTGATTTCTTATGGAATACGTTTTTGGTAATGTAGCCAAATTGTTTTCAACCATTGACAGAGTTGATACTTGGTATTTAAAAGGATAATTTATATGTTAAGAGTTCAGTCAAAGTTCTGGAGAAGACATATTTGAGGTTTATAATTTTAGAACATATGTTTATTTTTTTAATCTTTGGCAGACTGTACACATAGTTTTAATCAAGTTTACAAATGGAAACAATTTGGAGTCCATTCTGAAGATAATGGCAGTGAAATTTTTTAGCATTCATATCTGGGAAAATTAAGCAGGACTATGAGGTTGCATAAGAAATAGTGGACATGGTTTTTATCTTTTCTTACTTCTTCCGATTTGGTTTCTGGTTAGAAAAATGAATTCCCAATTTCCAAATGGAAGTTTTGTTAAAATCTTTAAGAATATCATCACTATTTGAATCTTTAAATCTTTTCGTGTGGGATGTCGTGTTGGATGATTTAATCTCTTCGTATTATGATCAATGTAATTGAAATTATCGGAAATATCGGATGGCCAAAATTCATGTCGGATTGCAGAAATCAGGATCGAGGATATGTAAAAAAATATCAGGGTGTCATATCAGATGATGTTCATTTAGAACATGACATTGTATTATGTAATCAAAACATATTTAATGTATTCTAAACATAAAAAATTGCATCATGAATAGTGATATACGACGTTTAGAGACATTAGATACATGTAGAGATCTGAGAGAGAGAGAGCGAGAGAAGACATGAACGGAGGAGAGAGAGGAAGACAGAGAGAGCAGGGAGAGACCGAGGGGTTTGAGGAGTTGAGAGAGCTGAGAGAGAGAACTAGAGAAGAGAAAGAGAGAGGGGGGAGAGAGAGGAGAACTAGAGAAGAGAGATTCGTATCTGAGATCACCTAGTTGTTTTTGAGCTGGAGTGCTGAACAAAGAGAGAGGAAAAATATGAGATTGACTAGGGATTTAGGGTATTTGGGTTTGGGAATTTATTAAGTTTTCAGATCTGGTGATAAAACCAAATCCAAACTCAATAACCCTTTTGATTTGTATATTAGCCACTATCAGAATGGCATACATCTTAGCCAATATCAAAATCAATATATCAACCGATATTTAATACATAGATTATGTTTCTATTTATATTCCGTAATAGAAACCATCATGTATACCAGTAGCATACATCTTACTAGCCTATTGGCTACTTAAAAAGGAATGCAATATTGTATTTAACCATTTAAATTTTTTGAATCAATGTCATAATATAATTATTAATAAAAGCATATGAATTTACCAATGCAGCCTTATAGATGTAAATCTAAAGCATAAGAGATGTACAAATGTTTTTTTTAATTCTAGTTTAAAGTTTGAAGTCTTATTGCCTGTGGACTTGAGCTGAGTTATGATATTCACGTGCGAATAATAATGACAATTGTGATTGCATAAATTTTGGGGTGATTTGCACTTAAATGCTCCAAAGGTTTTTTGCCTAAAAAAAGTTTAACTTTGAGACCCCCTGAGGAGTCATTTTGGATACCGAAGTTCAATATTTTTCAATTTTGTACTTTTTGGGAAAAAAATATTGTGGGGGTATCAAAGTTAAATATGGTGTAAATTGGGGTATTTAAATGTAAATATCCCTGAATTTTGTTGCCAATTACATCCTAAAGATACTGTCTTAACGTCTTATAGAATTTTAAGAACCATAGTGGCGATTTCAAAGTACATTCTTGCTTGTAAACTGCTGAAAGGGATAAATTTATCACTGATTATGTAAACCATGCAGGTTGAGAATCTAGTTTCTGAAATTGTTGACACAAACCTGGGAAAACAAGTAAATTTCTTACCTCAATAATATGTCTTTGACATTTATCAGGGATTTATAGTCCTTATAATTTACTCTTATTTCCTTCATTTTATTATATTTGCTTAGTTATCACCTTCACCTTTTTGTTTGGCCACCAGATATCAAAAATTAGACCTTCCCTTTCATTTATTGGTGCGGAGGAAGTTATGGGGCTCGTTACAGCTCAAGGTTCTTAATCTTTGTTACATTTACATTCTCTTTTTTAATATTAATATTAATATCATTGTATCTGAATATTATTGATCGATTTAAAAGCAAACTCCTTTTGAGATGGCAGTGGCAGAATCTGGTGAATTGAATGAGGTCTGGAAAGACATCCTTAATGCCGAGGGAGATGAAATATACATGAAGGTTAGATCCTATCCCATAATAGTGGAGAACACGCTTGATTACTTAAATTAACTAACGAGACAAACTATCTCCATTTCGCTTTCCATTTCATTTCGTATTCGTTATAAGTTACCTATTTGAACGTTATATTAATTCCCAAAAGAATAATTTGACCATTACATTCACAATGACAAATTATCGTGTTAAACTAGATACTAGTACTGATTTCTATGTTTCTTCTCACAAAATAGTCTCTTAGTGTAAGAGACTACGTTTGATATGTCACTGGAAAAACAATTGAACAACGACAAGGCCTTCACCCAAAATTTTGGGGGCGCCTCCTCTACATGAATTCTATTCTTCCGTTCAGTTTAGTCTAGTCTGAGGGATGTCACGTCTACAAAGTTACTCATTCTATTCATGCCCTCAGTTAACTTCTCTCATTCTGATATATAGATTCATCAACTCGGTAAAAGGATAAAAGTTCATTATAAGTCGAACTATGATCTTCAACTGCAGGATATTGGTCTCTACATGAAGAAAGGGGAGTCCCCATCGTTCTCAGAGCTCTCTGAAAGGGCAAAGTTACGCAGAGAGGTAGCTATTGGTTATACGCGAGGAAACAAGCAGGTAAATTATCCTGTTTAATTTCTCAACTCTTCTAATTTTATTGAAGTCTCATGTCACAATGCCTTCTCATTGTGTAGGTTTTAAATCCAAGCAACAAGTCAGAGCCACTTGTTCTTGAAATGACAGATTCTCTAATTGTAATATCCGAGCTTGAAGTCGAACAACCAATTATCATGGAAAATGTTTAATTCAAATTTTATTCTTCTCTTCAGTTGCAATAAAAGAGCAGATCATTATAGGCGTGTCCACCATGTCAATGCTAAATTGATTTGGGCAACATTGGAAAAGATGTGAATTCACATAGGTTTATAGATCAATTTTTTTGATGCGTCTGCATAAAATTGAGCCCCTGTAACGTAAAGAAATTTGAGGCAGCTCTGCTCATGCCAGCTCATATGAACTTCACTTTCTCGAACTGAAATTGAGTTTCTTGGAAATTTGGCTCAAATTATACCAACTTTTTAAGTTTTACCTTGAGCAACGCAAATCCCAGGCCTTCTATTTCCAAACAAAGTGTAATTTGTTTCCCACCAAGATATCAAAAGAAGGAACGGAACTTGAAACAAATTCCTCAAGCTCCCTCTTCCTC